AGTCACATTTTTGCTATTGTGGTTGCACACCAGTGTTTCATCTTTATCTTTCTCTTCTTTGCTCATATGTCCCCACCCAATGCCCTGCACTCATCTGCACAACAGTTCTGATGACATTTAGCTGTGTCATTGTTCAGTCTTTCTCTGTTCCTATTTAGTGGTATTTGATACGATGTCTAAAGAATACTAATTTTCCTGTTTCTGAGCACTGATGCCGGGATGTTCTTCCGTCGGAGGGTAGGCAGAGCCAAGGCATGGCAGTTGTGTGAATTTTCTCTCCGTGCAAGGAAGGAAGGGCTGCTAGATGCCCTTCTGTTGCATATTAGTAAGGGCAAGCAGAGACTTCCATCTGCACACTAGATTAGCAGCCATTTTTGGCTCTTTCTTGGTGAGTTTAGTTCCCTGCACTTCCTCATTTCTTGTATTCAAAGTCAGTGGTGTCCAAAAGGGGACTGAGGAGTTGGTTCAAAGCTTTTTTTAAATACAAATCTAAGGATTCTTCACATCCCCACTACAGCCCCCCCAGCAAAAGCACAGCACTGAAGTTGTCAGTCCTGTGCTTTCAGAGGAGGTAACACAAGTAGCAGGAATACTCTAAGAACATCTGACACTGGATTTTGCTTTTGCAGAGAACCTCCCTTTTTGGGAAGGAGAAGGAAAACTTGCAAACTGAGGGCCGAGCACTATTAGTTACACTGCTCAGTTAATCCATGACAAACTGATGAACGTGAGATCTGTGGAACTGACAAGCTGGGTACCCAAGTGCCATTTTGGCATTGCTGTTGCGCACGTTGGACAGAGCTGTGTCTTCATGCTGGCTTACCTGTTAACAGCTTTGTCAGCCAGGTGCATCACCTACCTTGATGCTACACAGCTGTGAAATGGTGACTGAGGCTCATGTGAGTAATTGAAAGGCTCTGCCACTTCCCAGCACTTAGAACAGACATTTTTTCTTACTGAGGAAAGGAAACTGAGTTTACCATTTATTTTTTAATACAATTAAAGGAGGGACTCTGGGAAAAAATGTTATGTACAAAAAACCTGTGATAAACAGAGCAGCTCACCTGGTACGAAGACCCAGATATTAAGCTGAAAAGGTCTCATGGAAACCATTTGTGTGCAATTCACTGAATACAGCATGAGGCAACAGAAAACATGATTCATACTATAAGTGCTTAAGGAAAATATAAACCAAATAACCTGCTCATAAAGAATATAAAAAACCCCTGGTGCTAGACCTGTATGTCAGTGGAAGTTTTTGTTTCCTTTAGAAGGAGTTGCTTAAAGTGTCACAGAAATGTGTGGTGATGTAGAAAGGTTTGGCACAGTGCAAAAGACAAACCTTTTTCCAGAAGGCTGTGCAGTCATCAGCCAGGAGCAGTGTGGGATAAGCAGAGAGAAAACACTGTGCCCGTACAACTGTCGGAGCTGCGTTGTGGTTGGTAAGGTGGAAATCCATCATGGTTATAGGAAGGAAGCACAATGTTGAAAATGAGCAAAGTAAGTATGAAAAGAGGGTGTTCAGCCTGCAAGAAGCTAGTAGTTTTGGCTGGAAAGAACAAGCATAGACTGAAAGAAAAGGAAAGCTAAAAAGTGTGGGACACCATTGCCCGTACATGAAGTCCTGCAATAAGGTCGGGCTGCCTTTTGGAAACCCTGCTTTCTGTGTCACCTGTGTTGTGCTTGCAACCAGAATGCTCAAGTGTATTGTTTGCTTCTCAACCACCTTATCTCCTTCCCTCTGACAAAAAACCCTCCATAAGAATGTTCTGAAGTTCCAATTTCACTTCAGTGGGAAAGCAGGGAAAAAGCTGATGGGGCAGCATGACTCTGCAGGGGTAGAAAGGGAGCAGTGTCTTATTTTTTACTGGCTACTTGATCCTTTAGCCTCTCATAGCTCAGTCCTCTATAAACTGCTTTTGGTCCTCCTGTTTCCTCCAGCAATTTCTGTCTCAATATGTACGTGCTAGAAAAAAGTGAAATGGATGGAATGTTTCTTTGCCATGTCGTAGCAAGATAAAACAGCTCAAGCAACAAAACATCCCACAAAGAGCATGGCACAGTGCTTTCAGACTTTGGTCTGCCCTGCCAGCTACACGCATGGGTAGAGCAGTAAGGGAATGGGTACAGCTTGCAGTGGGACAGAGCAAAAGGGAAAAACAAACCTGTCAGACTCAGGGCAGGGTTGAGTTAGGTTAGTAGGCAAAGTTGCTCGAGAAGCTTTATCCTCTTTTCCCCTCAAAATGAGAAACCGCTTTTTCCTACACAGTAGGCAAGAATGTCACCCAGATCAGATGAGTCCTATCCAATCCTGTAGGGAACTTCAAGAGAACACTGGCAGAAAGCAGCAGTATTCAACACCAAGTAAATCCCTATTCTGAGTATCTGTAGAGCCTACCCTGACAAGCATTCCTAGGCAAATGTACAAACAAAAGCAGACCTATGTTTATGAAACAAGACCCTGAGTTACATTTCATTACAGTAGATACCTATGAGATAACCACCGAGTGCTACAGAAATTTAAATTGAGCTTTAGAAGCATGGGTGGGAAGGAATGGATAGAAAAGCTTGTGCGTGTGTATGTGCAAAGGTGTGCCCACACACATGCAGCGGGCTGTGCTGCGTCAGATGTGCTGCTGTATCTCTGAGGAAATTAATGGAGGAACTGTATCTTGGTGCCTGGGTTGCTAAGGCCATCCTTTCAAGAGCGAAAGGTTATGAGAACTTCTGCCACTGCTGCAGGTAAGCAATATGAGTTAGCTGTTAGGTGTGCCGTCAGTATGGATCATTCCCTAAAAAGTCTCATAGCACTGAGAAGAAGCACGAGGTGTGTAGTCCCACCTCAAGGTGCTTTTTCATGAAAAGTGTGTGCATTATTATTGCCTCTTTTGGGGAGAAGGGACATGTCTGTAACAGTCATGTCAAAATCCAAAGTTCTCCTGCACAAAGAACAGCCCTGGAGGATACCCATGCGAGGCTGAATATAAATGAAGTTTTAGCTGCTCCATGGAGGCACAGCCTGATTTGAGAGTGTGTGTCAGAGTTTGGGGTCTCCCAAAGGCCAGCTCTGTGTTACTAACAGGGTAGGTGGGTGTGGGCTCTGCAGGCTCCGTGATTTTCATCGAGGCAGAGTCAAAGCCAGAGGATCCCAGACTCTTGAACTGGACTGTCGAGGCTGATGACACTCTTCTGCCCTACTGCAGGAACACAGATGGTCCTCCCATTTGGAATTCCAGCGACCCCGGTGTAACAAGACCACCCCCGAGCTTCCGTAGCTTAGGTGGGCTTTGGTATTGGTTCACACGAGATCACGTTGTCAGTCTTCTTGAGCTGTTTTCTACTGCTGTCGTCCCCTTTCAGAGCGCCAAAGGGTCAACGCAGTAAGCATTGCTGGACAGTGACAGTGGTGACTGCAGTGCGGAATACACAGGACAAGAAACCTGAGGGAAACGAAGAAAAGACTTTACTGATTTTTTTCTCCCCACCTTCTTAATCTTACATGTAAGCCAGAATGTTGCAGAGCCGAGACAAACGGGGATCACCTCCCATAGCTCTCCACAAGAGGGCTCCTCTTACAGTAAAGACAGAGCTGGTCAGAGCCAGGCAGCTCCAGACAGGCACTACACTGAGCTACAGGCTGGCTCAACGCTTGCTGCAGGCACCTCTGGACCATATAGAGGTGCCATCTCTCCGCCAAGTGAGGATGACTAATGAATGTGCTACCCTGTTTAAGCAGCAACAGAACATGGCTCAGCACATCCCACAGTTAAAAGATGACAGCCACTAAGGAAGCAATACACGTCCTAACACACCGCTTCCATCCTTCTCCACAGACAGCAGCTGTTCCAGGCCCTGGAGCTGGGAAATGCCAGCCACTTACAGAAAAAGCCTGGCAAACCTTTCTATCAAAAGTGGAACGTGGCAGACTGGATTTATTCAGTAGGTGAACTCCTGCTACTCTCCCATCACAAAACCCCCCAAAATTCATGCTAACCAGGGCTCTAGTATCTGTTCCAGACAGGGCCTTCCCCAGAGGAAAACATGAGGGGGTGGTCCAGTTTGGGAATGAGTCGCCTGAATGATAGTTTCCCTTCTTTTCCATCTTAAAAATGTTAAGCTTTTAGATTACTGCAATGCAGGGTGTGACAAATTCATGACTGTCTAGGACTCTACAGCTGTTACTCTGTGACATTACCCTGGCAGTTCAGCATGCTGTGTTGATAGCAGGAAATGCAGTCACCTAGATAATGATGTGAGGTAAGAACAGTTAGCTCTGTCTCCTGACTTGAAAAATGTCTTTTTGGAGGACACAGCCCTGAACACTACTGAGCTTTCAAACCAAAATGAATGTAATGCTTCGTAGTCATAAAACCTTGGTAAGCCAGACTTTCCCCCAGCACAGCCTTCACAACATCTCGTTATCAAAATAACACCCTTTAAAGTATGAGTGTTTCCTGGGTGAGTCTGACAGGGGAAACTTCCTTACCCTCAAGCTGCTGAAGGGAATGGAGATATCTCAGAAGCAGAGTGGCATTGCTAATCTTGCTGGGAAAGCTGGAGTCATTCTCTTGTCATTCATCTCTCCCTCACCACCATTTGGGCAAACCTTCATTTCTATCATTAGTGATGTTCCCATGTTTATGCATCAGATCGGGCATATGCCACCCATGCAGGGCCCATTCCATGGCGAAAGCAACTTACCAGCCCAGGAAATTCCATCCTCTAACATTTTTCACTAGATTAATTTACAGACATTTGAAATAACCCAAAGTAATGCCCTACAAGCAGCATACCACTAGTTACCTGACTGGGAAACGCCGTGTGTCTGAGCTGGCAGCAGGGCCCTACCACTTCTATTTATCCCGGTGGACAGCACATGCTCATATTAAAGGCCATACATGTTTTTGTGAGCTAACATTGCAGGATAATCTATTAGTATTTAGGAAAATATTTTGCCAAGAGAATAATGGTGAAGAAATTTACCTGCAGATGCAATCCAGTCATACAAAGGATGTCTCAGATGTCACTTGAGAGCTCACAGGCAGCTCTATACATTCCCTCACACTCTCTTCCACTGAGTCCTGAGGCTTAGAACAGCAAGAACAGACTGAAAAAAGAAGATCCCTCATTAGTATTTGGAATTCCAGAAGACATAAAAGTGCTGAATCCAAATGTCTTTAAGTGAGAGCGGGAAGAAAGGAGAGAAGAAATGAAAGAAAAAGAAATACTTTAGCTCTCGTTACTTTTATTTTTCCTGGGCAGGACTCATCCCTGGATCTGAATATGGCTGGTCCACAGCCATACTCGGATCTGATAGCAAGCTCTGTCATAGATAAATGTTTCCTACATAGTGTCACATGGGTTAAAACTGTTCTCATTAGCACAGGCCCAGGACCTCAGCCTGGCATGAAGACAGATTGCTACATACTAAAATAAGGTCAGAAGGGAAATAATGGTACAAGTTACATGTCACTAAATGCAGTTTACTGAGCGAGTGGAAGAACATTGGTGTTAGAACCAACCAACTCTTTCAGTGCTTTAAAAGGATTAAGATTAAACAGGTCCCCTTAGTTCTATTACAGCAAACTGTACTTGCACATGTGTTACAACATGGGACCCAAGCTATTATTTAAGTGACCTCTAGTCATGGTCTAATCTTAGGCTAATCTTTATGTTAAATGTATTGAAGAACAAAAAAACAAAACCTTGAAGAACAAAAAAACAAAACCCCAAATAAACAAAAAACAAAACCAAAACAAAGCAAAAAAATTATCTAGAGAGTTTCCATTCTTAAATTATTGCAATGATAGGCTGTGAAGTCCCCAAAGTAGGGGCTTGTGAATCTCAACGAAGCATCTACATGTTTTGGTCACCACCACAATCACACATCTGGGAACTCATATTTCCGTTTTGCTCTATCTTTCTATCATTCCTGCCCACACTTCAGCTCTTTGAAGCATGGCTTTTTGAACTCAGAAACCACTCTTAGCATCAAGGCGGCTCCCCACTCAGCTTTCCACATGCCACAACAACAGAGGTACTCTCAGACACATCTGGAGCTCCCACAGGAGCTCTTGAAAGGTGACCTGTAGCAACACCAGCAGGAAGCACTCTGAAGACAGACATTTCCCATCCCAGACAGGTGGCGATGCACAGCAGCACCAAAATGTGACACCTGTACACACTGGGAAGTTGAATTGAAGCTCTGACTTCAGTTTCTTACAGGATATGCCTGGTCTGGAAAGCGGTTGTACAAAATAGCACCACTTGACTCAGCAAATCTACTCGCGGTGCATATTAGGAAAATGGGACTGAAAGGGAAATTCCAGCTGATGCAGCCACGGCCCATGCTGTTGCAGGTGATTGCATTCTACTATATCAGGATGCTTTTTACATCTACTTTAGAAGCAATTTGGTTTCTATATAAAAGGCTACCTCAGAATGCTCCAGAATCTTACTAATTTAAAGGTAAGGAGCCTTTTCATTTTCAGCCTGTATTTGGAGCCAAATCTTCAAATTTCAGTTTGTTTTCTCCTATAATTAGAAGTTCATTATCCATGCAGCTAGTAGCACAGGCTGTGATCAGCTGTCATTTTCTTGATTCCAACCTGCTTCCTGCTTTCTTCCCATTGATACAGCCCCAGGGAACAGCAGGGGAGAGCCAGCACTGGTGTCACAGGGGCATAGGAGTGGAAAATGAGGAGTGGCACAGGTATAGCCGAGACTCCCTGCTTTCCAGAAGCTTCCTTTCTTTGTGTTAAAACATCAAAATTAGCCCAGCCTTAGTCAGTGGTCACCTCGGTTTTTGAAGGGATGTGGGATGTGGTTAGTGAGGAGGGGAAAAGAAAAATAGTAATGCTACCTCCACACCTCTGACTTGGGAGTGAACTTTTCTGAAGTTGAAAAAGAGCTGGCAGAAGACACAAGAATGACAAACTTGCAAGTGTCCCTGACTGAACAGAGTCCCTGATGCCTAGCAAATAACCTCTTTCCAGTGGGGGATACCACTGTGACCATGAGGAGAGAAGACAGACTGATGGCATCTGTTTTAAGTGGGCTGACCATGGAGCTCTCTCCTGTCTGCAGACTTGACTTCCTCAGAGACCTGGCAGAACTGGATTGGGTGATATTTATAACACGTTGCAAAGCCTGCAGTCTTTCTCTAGGACTGCTTTTCAAAGCTGCTAACGGGGTATGGATGGGACATCTACTGCTGTAGACTTCCGATTCGAGCTGGATGCCTTTGTCTAGCTGCATTTATAAATCCCTTAGATGTCTACCCACATCTTCAAGGGCTTTCTGGCTAGGTCAGCCTACACAATTAGGAGCAACAGCTAACAGATGAGAAATTTTTTTTTGCCACAAAACCAGAATAATCTACTCAGCTGCCAGCTGAGATGCTTGAAGTCCCCTTTGCCACTGAAAAACTGAAGCCGTGTCTGGAGCTACTGAAGACTACATAGGGTGGGATGGGGCACCTCACCTGTGTTGTTTGCCACACCGAGAGGACAAATCCATCTCTCCTAACTGGGTTCTAAAAGTGGGGCATTGCTATGCTCAAGTTCTTTCTGTAGAAGGGGCTAGCACTGAGGATTTTTTTTTTTAACTTTGGCTCTGTGACTTTTCTGAGGGATTGTCTAAGCAGGGTGTGTACAGGGATCCCATTTTGAAACTGTCAATGCTCAGCTGTATCTATCATGATCACCAAGATTCTTGGCGTCTTCAAACATCTTAATACATAGAAATGGGCCTTTGTGAATCTCTTCAGTTCTGTATACCCCTGATTTTGTAAATATTCTGATCTGCTGTCAAAACTCCCCCATCACCCTTTCACTTGCAAACCTGAATTCTAGTGCTGCCTGCACACAAAATTTAGGAAAGTCCTGAACGGGACTTAGATTTTGTGACAGTAGATGTTGCATGAAAAAAAAAAAAAAAAGAAAAGAAGGAAATGAGAAGAAGGTACAAAAATACCTAGTGTGTCAGTATAGTTTCTGTAAATGTGTATTTTACACAGAAATTCCATAAGCAGTAAGAGACTGTTTCTTGAAAAAGGGGCTGCACTTACCATGCCTTAGGACGTATTTTGCTGCTAGGATGACAGCCAAAAGGAAGATGATAATGATGATACTTGAAGCAGTAATGACATTATAAGATGGAGGTACAGTAGGGACAATGCAGAAAGTTGTGTCTGCTTAGACAGAAGAAATAAAACATAAATAAAGGGCCCAGCAATGTAGTAAGACAATGAAAAGAGCAAGTACATGAATTTTGGTGGTTCTGGTCAAATACTAATGCAAATATTCAGCCTGAAAATTTATCTATTTGATAAACAAACAGACAAAGCTGGCACCCAAACTTCTACCACTTCCCCACATTTGCTATGTGCCAAAAATGTTAACAAATTCACTGAATCTGAAAGGCTGGATCTTTGTCCAGAACAGGACTGAGACAGATACTATTTAAAAAACACATAAGCTGGTCTTAAAGAAACTGGTTAGGCTTGGTGGAAAAGTCTTGAGTCCCTATCTAGAAAACTTCCATTCTCAAAGGCACTCTGCAGTTTTTCTTATTTTCACCAGATTTATGGCTATTTTTTTTCCTTCTGAATTCAGAGCTATGATGCATTGAACAGATTAGAATAGACTTCTTTCTACATGACAGGAAAAGAATATTGTGGCAGAGTTCAGTTTCAGTGGATCTGGAGCCTTTGATTTTTCACCACTGGAGATGACTATTCTGCCACTTGGACATTGGACTAGATAAGGGGCCATTCTTGTACAGTGCAGGACAACCCTGATTCAGTAGGAGGGACAAGCTTGGGTGCGTATTCATAGCCCTTCAGATTTACATCATTCAAGGCTTGTTTGGAGGACTGTTTTCCATCATACCAAAATGGGAGTTGTTCCACATCCTAAAAATCAAAAGTGAAGGCTTTGTGACTGCTGTTTTCACTGTTGATTGCACCCTCCTCTGAGAATCTGTGTGACAACAGCTCATTACTACTATTCCTTTTTTTGTTGCTCTCCTTTTCTACATAGTATGATATTCATAACCTTCTTTCATTACCATCTCCAGGGATATTATGCTCTACATCCAGGAATAACCAATATTCATAGAGCACTAGTTTCTGGCATTCATCCTGGTGCTGAACAGCACCTCTCCTCACAAGCCCCTTTGATTTTAGTAAGACTGATGAATAAAGTACCTTGATGAATAAGGTACAATTCGCTGGAAAAAATAGCTCTTCTCTAGTTTCCCTTGAAGGTGCCCATATCTCTACAGTGAAAACAACAGATCCAGAGACATTTCAGAATTCTTTTTGGTAACAACATTTTTTTAAAAAGTCCTTTTGGCTTTAAGAATTTTCTTGCAAATTCCTTACTACTGCAACAACATCTGGACTGTTCTGTGCTGCCTTCCCTCATGGTGTTTCCACTTGTGCCTCAAGCTTTTCAGTGCAGAGACTTCTCTGTTATTTTATCATTTTTAAGCCATGTGTAGTGATGGATTTTTTCTGTATGAGTTAACCCTATATTAAATATGTGTATGAAAGCAGAATTTTGCCTAGACCCCAGCTGACAATTTCTATCACTGAATCATAGAATCATAAAATGGTTTGGGTTGGAAGGCACTTTAAAGTTCATCTAGTCCCAACCCCCTGCATGGGTAGGGACACCTTCCATTAGACCAGGCTGCTCAAATGATAAAGTTCTTTTTAAGGGCAACCTATGGCTTTTAAGGCACACACATTTCACAAGTCCTTCCATTTGAATACCATTTGAAGTATGTTTTATGCAACTGGCAGCAAGACTATGCTGGTACAAAGGGGCACTGAATGGTGGCAGCCTCAGCCTGTGGGGGCCACCGAGGCTGAGAGTACCAGATCACAATGGGATCCAGCTGCCCTGTCAGCCCAGCTGTGACTCATGGTAGAGCAATAGGAAACCAGAGCAGTCTCTGCTTGACAGTCACTGTCAAAATTCTCCTCTCCCATTGCTGCTGTCTAACAGCCTTTGAAAACTTTTGGTGTCCATCTCACAAGGCAGCATCATTGGGTCATCCCTGCATGAGCAGATACACAAAATCTACTGCTTTGTCAGGCCACTCAGCAGGTTCAACAAAATGGTTTTGTAACACAAGCTACTAATAAAACCTACTCAGAAGCAAAGTGGTGGACTTGGCAAAGCCATCATATTCAATGGAGCAGGTGAATTCGACATCCTTGGTCACGTTGAGCCGCACTTCAGCGGTGACGTTGTACAGGCTGAGGGACTCAGACACCCAGCTGACATTCCACACCACGGACACGTTGTTGAGGGCTCCAGAGATTTTGGGCTTGGGGAAACCTCCGTGAGAAGAACATCTTACCACCATCTCAGTTGACTCACAAGAATTAGTGGATACTTCTGCTGTTATGTTCGGCTCACTGAAGTCAGCTGAAGCAAGAAAGATTTCATTACCATTCTGTCAGATTACAAGCCAGGCCTGAAGTCCTGATCACCCGTGGCCACAGCAAGTCTGCCCCACGGAGCATTCTTCCTCTATTATAATCTGTTTGGCTTTTTTCATGCCTTAGTTATCTCCCCCCAGCCTTGACTGGATGTGGCCTTGGCCTTTGCTTCTTCTCCTCCTCCCTGGACAGCACATGTGACCCTACCTCTCCAATGCCTCCTTTTCTCTCTACGAACAGCAGTTTGTGAAACAAAGGAAGGAATCACGAAATAGGCAGGAAAAATATGGGACTGAATAAAACTCCATTTTACAGGCAATGGTAGACCATTTCCTTCTCCCTCCCTCATGAGTCCCTTCCCAGCCAGAAGATCACAGAAGGTCCCTCTCGGCTGGGAAAGGAGGTGAGTCACATGTTGGTATCTCAGCTGGGATGACCAGCAAGACTGAATTGTATTTTCTACATGAGAGCCTGTCCAGAAGGCCCATCTGAGAGCAAGACCAAGCCACATCAGTCATCACAAAAATGCATAGCAATACACAGGTCCTGTCAGACCATATCCTCACTGGACTTTTTTCTCACTGCCAAAGATAGTTTTCAGAGGCTTCCCACCCACACAGCTTGTTGGCTGCACAGTGCAATGGATGAGAGGGCTTGTATGAATGAAGAGGGAGAAAGGTGGCGTCATTTTTAAACTGCTTCCCTTTGTCAATCTGGTCCACTGTGTAAACAGTTGACACAACTGAGGATGCCAACGGGCTGCAATAAACAGCCCAGGGTGAGGAGGAGACAGCAAGGGGTGTCAAAGGAACTATTTAAGGCAACTCTCCCATTGCAAAAAATCTCCATGGGACCACATCTTTAGCAAGAGAGGTACCAGTGAGAAAAAGAATCTCAATGTGTGGCTTCCTGGTGGGCCTAAGTCACACAGAGGTTGACCAAAGGGACCGAATTCTCCGTCCCACCCCTGCAAGCCTAGAAGCCCCTCTGCCCTAGCCCCAGCCATGCCAAGGCCAGGCAAAAGCTGCAGCAGCTGCTCACCTCACAGCCAAACCATCCTTTCTGGAGCAGCTACAGCTCTGTCTGGATCGCTCTCTGCCTGACTCACCATTTCCCACATGACCACTGGGACAGGGCAGGCAGCCTTGCGGTTCTAATGTGTCTCCCACAGATTCTGCTGACTGTGAACCCATGGTCTAGGCTGCTGAGTAACCAGTGAGAGAAACTTGCTCAACATTGCATGGCTGAGGAGAGGCAGACAAGGAGAGACCCGGATTTCCTCCCAGGCCCACTATCTGTTGAGCAATATGGCATAGACATCCATTCTGGGAAGTGACTTCAGGCCTCCCAAACGGCTTCACTAAGGCTCCCTCCCTCACCAGCCACCAGACAGTAACACCTTTCTGCCTCCCTCAGGGTAGCTGGGTTCCAGCAGGAGGGAGGGGAGCTTCCACTTTGCTGATCCCCACAGTGACCGATCCCACTTTTCCAAAGGGAGCAGAAACCTACCACACATTCAATTGGCCTGCTGAGACAGCAAGGGGATTTATGGAAGGAAAGAAATTGGAGTATTTGCCAGGAGGAAAAGAGATCTGTTAATTCACATTATCCATGCAGTTAACTCCTCAGCCCTCACAGCTAGACAGGGTGCTGGCAGGGCACTTCCCTTTTTTTTTTTTTAGATCAGTTTCCATAAAGATCACTAAATTTGTCTCCTTGCACAGATGTCCACCATGGCCTAAGACAGGCAGGCAATGGCCAGGCCTTAGGAATTTGGTTTGGTTTACTGATGAATCTCATTCCAGATGGGGAATGCTCATACACTGGCTTGTCTGGAAGATTCCTGAAACTCTCTGCTGCTAGAGGTATTCAAATGTCTGTATATATTTATATATCTTACCAGTATCTCTGCCTTTGGTTGAAACCAACCACCACAAAAAGAGTGATGGAAATGGAAAATAATGTCAACGGAACATTTTGTAGCCTCCGATTAAAAGATTCAGATTCGTTTTGAGCAAAGGAACTCTAGTTGGTTGTTTTTTTTAAGGTAAAAAGCCTCAAATCTCCAGCTGACTTCAGCCTTAAGCTGGGGAGCTGCAGTGCAGCCACAAGCTGGCCAGCCCCCCCCACCCAAGGAGCTGGATGCAGGCCTGAGATGCAGCTGTGCTCACTGAGAAGCAAAGCTCCCTCCTTCCTCTTACTGCCGGGATCATTCAGGTGCACCAAGGACTCGGTCGCTTTGTCCAAAAAGTCAGCAGGGGGCAGAGGCGGCCTAGGGCACCCAGGGGCATAGGACCTGGGATGGGTCCTTGCCCAAGAGAGGGGCATCAAGGGGAGGATGGTGGGAAAGGCAAATTTTCTGTATCTTTGGAAATACCAAGCAGGGAGTGTCCTCAAACCAGGACAAGGAGGCTACTAGAATGGAAATGCAGGGGCCTTAAACACATCTTTCAGCATTCTCTTATGCTTCCTGATGATAGTTAGATCGTCTATCTGCTACCCTGTGAGGAAAGCTTGGATGAGGTTGGCAGCTGAAAGCCGCAGGTGTCAGGCAATCCACCTACCTGTAACAAAGAGGGTGACATGCTCGTCACACAACAAAGATGGGTTCTGCAAACGTTTGAGGTGCTGAACCACGCACTGGTAGGAGGCATTGTCCAGGATTTCCACAGGGGAGATCCACAGGGTGAGGTTCCTGGGGTCCATCTCTGTCCGGTTCTTGTACCGTGGGAGGAAGGGTACGTGGTCAGAGAGGCTCTTCCCCTCTGCGTAGGCGAGCACGACGCCCGTGACGTTCTTCTGCCAGTAGACCCGGTAACTGTGCAGGGTTTCTGAGCTAGGAATCTCATGGCAACACGGGAGGCCGACTTTTTGGCCCACTTTGCTTTTGATGATTTTCTTCTCTAGTGCATAGCCTGTAGGTGGGGGGCAAGCAGATGTCAGTGAGACAGTTGCATAGCATTGTTCCAGAACCTTCTGCATAAAGGTCACTTCTTGTGGCCCTGTCTGGTGTACCTTGTCACCCACCAAGCTGTTCAAAACTTCAGCTGTGCACAGCCTACCTTGGCATTGCCCTCTACATGATGCTCCAGTCCTACTTGGGATCCTGATCTAGCAGGTACGCAACGATTTCTGCATGAATTACTGAAAGCAAAGGCAAGAGACTTACCTGCCTGAACGGAAATTTTGCTGGCACCTTAAAAATCCCACACCTCAGAGTAAAGGATTGGCATTATTAATGTAAAGGGGTAAAACTGTTATGCCTGCTTATCTCCTCTGCTATCTCCTCTGCTCTCCCTTTCAGGGGTCAGTGTTCAGAAAATCTGTGTCACCCTCCAGTGAGTTCCCTGCATGCCAAGCAGGGCCACGTTGGGCGATGAGCTCGGAGGTTTTTGTGTAGAAGAAAAAAACCCAAACCTTTCAAGATTCCAGAAACTAGAAGAAACCCTATAATGACAAAAAAATGTTACAGCCACAGTCTTATCAGCCTCCTCGTATTAGCAAATGAACAATTTGTCCTAAACTAGTTCAGACAAATTTATATTTGTGAAGGCCCATGGGCCTCCCTTAGGATTACTTGCAAACCAGCACAGGCATTCCCCAGCTCCTGCCCAGTGACTGAGTTGGTGCCATACCTAGCATACAGGCATGGACCTACAATAACAAGTTAAGGCCCTTGCAAGGGAAAAATAAGTACAACTTTGACTAGGTTAGCAGTAATCCCCCTGTTTCACACCACAACTTCTAAGCATGTTGCTGCTGTGATCAGCCTGGCTTTCCCATTCTCCTTCCTCTTTCCACTGGGAAGGTGCTCAGAGGGGCCAGGACTGCCAAGTGAGGAAGGAGTCTAGCAAGGAGCTCTTGCTGTTGCTGGAAGAGTGACCCAATATTGACCTGCAGTCCTGTGCTGCACCAAGGCCAGAGCAGATGGATGGGCTTTTGCCCAGGTTTTTGCAGCCTTCAGGATGATGCTCATCCCTATGCACCCTGTTTTGTTAGTCCAGAAAGTTGGGTTGCTTTACATTTGCCCTGCTTCTCTCAGCCTCACTACCTCAGCACCCATCTCTGGCAGTGGAAGGGGGATAATACCAATGTGCTGCACTGCACTGACTGAGAGCAGAAAAACAAGGAAACAGGCCAGCCTCAGAATAGAGATGATTCAAATTCCCTCTTCCTTCCCTGCAGAACAGATCTTGGTAAGCATATCTGAGAGAGAAAGTGACAAATTCTGACTTTTTTTTTTTTTTTTTATTGTGAGTGACAGAGCACTGGAACAGGCTGCCCAGAGAGGATGTGGAGTTTCCTTCTCTGGAGACATTCAAACCTGCCTGGACACGTTCCTGTGTGATGTGCTCTAGGTGACCCTGCTCTGGCAGGGGGGTTGGACTGGATGATCTTTTGAGGTCCCTTCCAATCCCTAAGATCCTGTGACTGTGATTCTGTGACGAGGCAGCATGTCACTGACTAGGGAGAGGGCAGCCTCAGCTGCTGGTGGAGATGAGTGTCCATGTGAAAATCCTCAGCCTGAAGTGAATGCCTGACAAAGCTGAGCCCTAAAACCCCCACCCATCCCCAGCAAAGTCTGTCTGATGCTGGCTCACACCTTATTGTCACTGCTAACACCTGAATGCAGCCAGGCTGTACAGAGGCACAGAGCGCAGTGCTCAGGGGGTGACCAGCGTACTGTGACATTCATATTCAGTGGAAGTATCCAAAACAGCACAAGCTTATAGCCCACCAGGGCTCATTTGCTTAACGGTGACTTACAGAACCTTGGGACACTGTCAAACAGTCAGCAGTGAGACCCCTGTGGCGTGCTGACCTGTGCCCAGTGGCTCACCCTGATGAAGTGCTTTGCAAACCTCCAGCAGCTGTTGCTGGATGGAGACAAGCAGATGCTCAGCCAGTGCCCTGGTACAGATCTTGGGGCAGCACTGGGGGCCACTTGCTGAAGAAATTAAGTCCAGAGAGCCTGGGACACAACATGAAACAGCTTTCACCCTGCTTCCCTGTGGCACATCTTCTCCTGTCCCACTTGCACACTTCATATTACTTCTGTAGGAAACACACTGAAAAATGCCAGGGAGGTCCTGGCAACACTGTGGAATGTTTCAATAGTAATGAAATAACATAGATGATGTATTTAAATGAGCAACTTTTCATTTAACTGGTTTCCCTCCACTAAGCCACTTAATCAGTCTTCCAAAGGCAAAGCTTCAAACACTATTTCAGCCTCTCCCCACTACCTGTGCTCCCCCTCACAGTGTGTCGCAGGCTCTGAGCGACCAGACTGGGGCAGACCAGGAGCCCACTCCACCTGCTGACCTGTGTCACCCAGCATCCAGAGGCAAAATGCTAGTAAAAACAGCTCTTCCACACTACATGGGAAAAGAACTGCCACGCCCTGCCAACCTTTGGCAGTTGGGAATTCAGGGATTTCTTGGCACTGGTATTCTAATAGCTACGGCTAGACCCACCCTTCAGGAAGAGATCTTGCCCCTTCGGAAATGCACGTTTTGTTTTCCGCAACATCCTGTGATGATGAGTTATAAGGTTTGATTACATGCTGCACAAAAAAGCATTTCCTTCTGTTTGCCTTAAAAGCAGCCCACTTTGGGCTGTGAATCTTGAAGTTCCTCCTGTGTGTCTGCATGTATTTGTGTTTGTGTGTTTTCCCTTGACCACATCACTTTTCTCACAGTTCAGCTCTTACTATTGCTGGAGACACTCCCAAGAGCAGCCAGTCAAACTTTGGGATTGTTGAGCCTCCTAAAGACAATTTTCTATTTTCTTTTGCAGTAACAGGGGAAGATTAGGCTTACAGTAAATGTCAGGGTGACATCACATCATGAGTTGCATGAAGTTCTCTGCGCTTTGCCCCTAAGAGTCTCCTTTGAGATGAAAAGGAGAACAAAAACCTCCTCGGCAGTACATGTACAGGGGCTGGAAACTCCTGCTGATGTCACATCTACCCTTAAAAGACTCTACACCATTGAAACTGCAACCTGAATGCTGTGAGCCTAAAGAAACCGAAGTCCATAAAGAGTCATTCAGGCCCACAAAAGTCCCCTTTCACTTTAAGGTGAACTGCAAAGCAAAAATACAATTCTGTCCCATTTCTATTCTGAATGCTCTCTGTAATTGGGCTGTGGGGGAAGTATCCATTGTGGAAATAATTTTTTTATTACTTTTGTAGTAAAAAAAAGATCCCTCCCTATCCTACCACCCCTGAAGCCTACCTGCTCCCTTGATGTGCTCCCATTTTGTTCTGTCACTGGAAGTTCACGGTGTGTAGCTACACTGAGCTGCTGAAGGGGTTGACTTTCTGTTCCCCGGGCAGAAAAACATGTTTCATTCAAACTACATGTGCTGCAGATACCTCACACAGCAGGGCTAACAAGAACAAAAACTTGAATGCAAAGGAAACCCATCTTGTTTGCTTCAAGAGTTAGAAAGCAGGAGAGCTCTTGAGCCCGTATCTCTATGTCCTTCACTTCTTGCCCAAGCCATGTTTCAGAGATTCTCTGGTCACTGAGATCTTGGTTATCCTTGACCGCACGTGCAGTGAGGTGGGACAGAGGAGAAGATTGCCTCTGGGACAGAAGTCCTGCAGAGACATTTGACTGTAAAAGGCAGTTAAAACACCGTACAGAACTCTGTTGGAAATCTTCAGATAATTCCTGGCGAACAGAAACCCCAAAGCATTTGTCTTTCCCCTTCATACCTCATTTTCTGACCTTCTGAATTGCTTTGCCTTTTTTTGGTCTTAGTTTGTGTCACTTTGCTTTGCACACAACAACAAAGCAACACACATGAAGGGTAAAGTGGGCCTGGAGTCCTTTGCTCCTGTGTAAGCTGCAGGTAAGACAGTGGATCTGCACATTTTTTTTTGACCAACAGTCCTGCAAACATCTCTAAGCCAAGCTGCCAGTGGCTCTCCAACATCAAAACAGCCTTGCATTGATTTCTTCCATAAGGATCCCTAATTGTCTTTGCAACAGCAGCTCATCTCTCTACTCTTAATCACTGGCATCATTAACTTTGCTCTGGACCATGCACTCAGGAGTCCTTCTCTGTCAGGGCACCTACACGTTTCTTGCCCTCTGCCTGTGCGTGGGCTGGAAAAAGGGACCTGGGACAGCTCTGGGAGGAGGTGCATGTCATATTGTGGCAGGGCAAGGGCACAGGGGCTGGGCCAGCTGGGGAAAACTTGTCTTGTGGGACTTCTCATGGCAGACATTCCCTGGGGTCAGTTTGGAAATCACACCCAACAGTCCCTGGGTAATTCTGCAGTTCAGGCCCCTCATTTTCTGTGAACAGTACATTTGCCCCAAACTTGCAAGATTTATCCTTTGAGGCCAACGCAGAATTTTTCAAGCATTTCTGAGCTAGCCAGATAATCGTTGAAAAAATGAGAAATTTTGAAAAACTGAGAAATTTTGAAAAGCTGAGTCTTTAAAGGACCTGATACTCCCCTTGGTCTTTTCTTCATCCCCGGGTGATTTTACCAGTGAAGGAATCAGATTCTCCCAAATGTCTCCATGGAGTTAAAATTCAGCAAACATCCAGTGCTATACTGGAATATGTGAAGAAATGCTTTGTATTTAAATTAGTGTTGTGACAGACTCCTGTGAATACACTGATCACAGAAAGACCCATTAGGTGCCCAGATAACTTCTAGGGGAAGACTGCATAAAACCACTTTTTTCCTCTGTGTTTCAAGTGTAAAGACCCCATACAATGAGAATGATGAGATGAAATAGAAAAAAGTGGGTGCTGGCAGGCTGTGCTGGCTGTCCTCTTTAAGCAGTCTGTGACTGCCTACTAAGTAGGGCAGAAGTGCACGGCAAGCCTCCTAGACTCCACTCCAGCAAGCAGAGGCATGCAAAGGGAGGTCTTGGCATGCAGGGAAAGGAGGAGTGGCCCTTACCCCTTGCACAAGCCCATGCCCAATCTTCTGGTCATGAACCACAGGCCTGCTGCTGCTCTGCACTGCTCCGGCAAAGCAAAGCAGCTGCAAACCCAGACTGCTTCATTCATGCCACAGTCACCACTGTGGGGTCAAACACCCTTACTCATCCCTAAGGTGGTGAGAGAGAGAGGAGCAGAAGAGAAGTCGACCCAAAGAAAAAGAGCAACGCACGTCATTCGGTGGCAGTTCCACTCAGTCCCACTTCCCTGTACCTGCTCACCCTTAGTCAAGTGTGCCTGCAGCAATTAAGTAATGGGATTAATCCTGGCTTATGATGACGTCGAGGCAGGGAAATTGTTTTAAGAGGTTTTTCTGAAAGTTCATCTCTGCTTGCTTCTGCAGCCTAACCTCAGGGCGCCCTGCTTGGACCAGTATAGCCAGGGCATGGCACCCCTCACCTGGCTTTAGGTATTTCTCATCTGCATGTTGACACATCCCTCCCAAACAAAACAGTAACTTCGCTTTGCCCAGCTCTTGGGCATTGCTTGATTGGGCAATGATTTTAATATCCCCATGCGGTTTTGGTGCCTGACTCCTTCAGCATCCTCAATTTCACTTTAATGCTGTTTTGTTCCAAGTGCAAAGCCTTTAGTGAAGAAATCCTCAAAGTCCCGAAGCAGCTGTGAAAACCAGAGGACACTTTCCTGCATCTATAGACAGAAAGACAGCT